ATATCAATATCTCTAAATTTACTTGTCCACTTTATTAATTAGGATATATTTATTCTAGATAATTATACTGTACAGCGAATTTGCTATGAAAATGGAAGCTGGGCAGAACCAGTTTATGAGCAGTGCATCGATGTCATCAAATATCATCCTCAATGTATTACTGGTTTTTGTAGAACGGTAATTAAAAAGTTTGCGAAACTAATTTACAAAAAAAATTTTCAGGAATATTAGTGTTTTAAAATATACTTTATTACAAAATTTGGGCTTCTGTACTGGATAAAAAATACAAAGTGAAATTTCTTAAAGTTTTTTTAGATTTCTTGTAAAGATATTAATAGTAAATACATTATATCCATCACTAGTCAAGACATAAAGGAAGATATTTCCAAAAAAAAATTAGCTTCAAGTTCGCGTTCAAAACTGTTAGAAGCCCTAGCATACAAGAAATTGTTGATTTAAAAAATGTATTTATTTATATTTTGAATTTTCTCTAGAAGCACTGATTCCCATTTTTAAATGTTGGATTTTCAGTGTCCAGATGTGCTCCGAGATATGGTTATCAGCGTCTCCTTAACATTAAGTATTGTTTCTGTAACTTTACTCCTAATTGCACTATTACTATTTAGTATTTTTAACTCAATACAATGTCGACGTCTTGCATTACACAAAAACCTTGCTAGTGCTTTCTTATTTCGATTTACTGCATTGGCTCTGTGGACAATTGCGCAAACATCAAATTTTTTTCAAAATTGCTCGTATTACAACTCAATGCCTTTATATGAATATGTTTGTTTTTCTTTTGTTCTCAATTCTTTAAATGATAGTTTTAAAAAACATTTATGATAGAACTTGATAGACTTTAAAATAAATATGGCATTTACTTAAAATTATCAGTATCAAATGGAAGCACTAATTTCAAGTATTTAAATATTAACTTGATCACTTTTTTCAGGAATGGATATGTAAGCTGCTGATTTGGCTAGTTATTTATTTTCAGGTTTGCACTTAATTTTATCCAAACATCCACTAATGAAAATTGCACTATGGGTAGGACCAATTTCTAACTTTCATTCCTTGCTCTTTCATACCAAAATGAAGTACAGCAAAATTTAAATAAGTAAAATTAAAACTTTAAAAGTCTTTATTTCTGGACAATTTACTGAGTGAAAATGAAGGAATATAATATAAAAATGTAATTAATTAAAATCAGTATTTAAAAAATAGGAAATTCTATGAAGTACTTTAAATAAAAAAATAAGGAATCCTTTTTTATAAGAAGAACAATACTTTTCTACTATGAAGTTTCGATAACAGTAAACTTTATATCACATTTTCAAAATTTGTTTCAAGGTCTGTCACTATTTGTTATCAATTTGTAATATGCAGTCACACAATTTTATAGGTTGCATCAGTAATGTGGATGGTTATTGAAGGTGGTTATTTATACAGTCGATTTACCGTATTTGCCATGCGAAGCATCTATATTCCTTATTATGCTTATCTCCTTTGTGGTTGGGGTCAGTGAAACAACATTAGCAAATGTTAAAATTTGGAACTGCATGCTTAAGACAGCATATTTTTCTAGAAACTTTAATGACAAATTGTGTTTAGCTTAATTCACTTCAATACAGAAAGGAACTAAATTGATATCGAATTTATATTTCTCTGATGATAACAGAATCCAGAATCTATTTAGTAATAATAAATTGAATGATTCTTTTGCTAGCTTGTAATGCATTGAAAATACTAAAATTCAATTTTATTCATATATTATAAGTGTAATGAATGACTGCGAAGAATAAATTGTAATAGTAAGTACTAAAAGATAATACTTTATACAAAAAAAATGAGATAGAGCTCGTAATAAAAATTATAGGCTTACCCTTTGCTGTTGTTATCAGTTGGACGATTGTTCACCAATATCGATCAAGTCAAAATCAAAACTCATTCTGTTGGTTGCCATATGCGCAAGGCGCTCATTTATGGATATTATCTGCAACAATGGGCTTGGCACTAATTGTTTGTTTCCATTTGATCTCTTTTTGATAAGTCATAGTAATTTCTTACTAGGTATAAATTTTACTAATGAATAAAGCAATAATTTAAGCACTTTCACTACTTTTTTTTAATTTTCGAGATTAAATTTATTATAGCTGAATTTGTTATTTCTACTGGGTATCGTATTAATATTGGTGCAAAAGTTACGTGCCGAAAGAATAACCGAATCTAAGAAAATATGGTTAATTTTATGTGTAATAGAGAAGCGTAATTCAGTAACTCCTAAACTGACTCTTATTTGGAAAAAAAAAAGAACTCGATGAGTAATGCGCATTACTTATGTAATGTTGTAGTTGAAGATGCAATTTTGTATATTCAAAAATTCGCTTAATATTTAAAGAACTTCTGTGTATTTTGCTATTTATTGCTTATTAAATTAATATATATGTTTCATATGATTGGTGGACTACATTCTCTATTTAAATGAGATATAGAATATTTCTTAATCTGAAAACTAATTCTCAAATTTTGCTCTAATCCAAATATCAATTATTTTCTGTCTAGGTATCTATTCAAAGTATCATAAATGAACTAAATTTAATATTTTAGGAGGACAGTCAAATCAACTCTTTTATTAATCCCACTCTTAGGTGTGTCAAATATACCCTTATTTTATGAACCATCTCAGCCGAGCAACACCTATATGCTTGGATCTGCTATCGTGCAACATTCACAGGTTTTTTTTTCTATCTTTTCAGTAATAAGGTCGATAACTACATACAGATGCTGACTGCACATTTAGTATAAGTTTTGACTGAGACCAGACACAAATATGAATTACTGCCATCGATTTCAATGTTTTTTTCTTCTACATACATATGAGTGTATTTTCAAATTCTCATACTTCATTTATTCAAGAATTCTTGATTTAAAGGGTATATTCATTGCTGTTCTGTATTGCTTTCTAAATGGCGATGTGCAGAATGCAGTTAAACGTCAGCTACTGAAAGTAAAAATGTACATTTTGAGGTAAACGTATGAATAATTTACACTAGGCAACCAAAAATGCATTTCCAGAACTTTATTCTCTAGCAAAAAATAAGGCATAAATTTTTTGACTGCATTACAATTGATTTTCAGTAATCAATTCTGTTTTGAAACGCAGAGAACGTATATTTCGAGTATGAAAGATCAATCAGATAGAAAACTGGACATGCCAATGGAAGAACTGAATAGTGCTGATTGATCAGAAAGTCTTCAGAGAACACATTAAAAGAGCATACAAGAAACGAGTCGATTTAAGCGTTACAAAAGCAATTACAAATTCCAAAAGCACTTTACATCAATATTCGTCAACACCAATTTGCATAGCACAAAAGTTAAATAATAGACCATTTGCAAACACATTTAGTTTTGAGTTATCAGAACATGAAATAGATGTTTAAATGAAAAAAATTTTAAGTGTGATATGACTCAGTCAAATTTGATTTGATATAAGTATTTATGTAAATAAGTTAAAATATTACACCGCAGTTAGCAAAGCACCTAAAATAGATGCTTTTGAAAAATTGCGCATTAGAGTAAGTGCAAAAGATAAAATAATACTCAACTAAGATGATGCATAAAAAGATTTTTTCTTTTCAAACAATAGAATAAATTAAAAAAATGTACGAAATCTGTTCTATGCAGCCATAATTTATAACATTTTGTATCCGTTGATTGCGTGAAATAAATTAAGAACAGTTATGGTGAACTTTAGATCTCAGCGGTACGAATAACTCACCACTCAAAAACATGTTCAGAAGACGATGGGTAGCTCAAAAACTGAGTAAAAATGTGAAGAGTAATGAAAATGATAAAGGCTGAAAACATCTTTGCGCAAAAGTCATGAAAAAATGCCACTCTAGAAAATGTGTTGCGAATAATATTGTATACTTTATACAGTCTTGGTGTTAAAGTTCTTCATATTTGCACTTTTTTAAATATTTTCTGTGAACATTGAAGCAACAAACAGTTATCAAATATTACGATATAATCAACATGAAGAATGAAAAAAGTATCAATGATGTAAAGTGTATCATTAATTAACTAATTTTAGTGATTGCGTAAAGTAAAAAATCAGTGATGTCAGTCTAATATTTATTTTTTCCAGGATACTTTTTTCACTACTTCTATCAGTTAAAGTTAACACTGCTATCATGAATTAACTTGGTCAAGCTGACTAAGTTTTGGATAATTAAAAAACAAAATTTTTATTGAATGTATAAAAGTAGCCTTGAAAAAAATCATCTAGATGGAATTGCTTCTTCAAACTTATAGTGTGGTAATGTCTGGATGTATTAGTAGGATATGAATGAATAGTCAAGTTGGTGAGTAGTTGCTCATAGGTGTCTTTTAATGTAGAACAACTGTTGCTTGAGTTTGTCTACTGCATATGAAATTTCAAGTTTCACTGTCAGCAGCGTTACTATACTTAGTTGAATAAATTATTCTACTGGCTGATGAGTGAAATTTTTTTTTTCAGACATTTAGTTCATAAATGATATATCTGATTTCATTTTAATGTTAAAAATTTGTTTTGCTACAAAAATAATGCAACGTAATTGAAATGCATGAAATCACTGCAGCAATGATTAACTAGCTTTTGTCAGTTCCAATAAAGAGGAAATATAGAAAAGTAATGCAAAATTTTGGCGTGATTTGTTACATTTTCCCATAATTAGTGAGTAAGGATAGTATCTGCCACTGAAATGAATGCCTCCAAGCAGCTGGGAAAAGAGCATAAATTTGAGTCTTGCGTAACCTCTGATTCTCAAAAAGCAAAGAGTAAATAAAGCACATGCTATCAATATTCTAAAACAATGAACTGATTAACTGATGGCGTTTGGAAGTCATCAAAGCTGACTGACTACTCGAAGATGAGATAAAGATTCAGAAAATGTGTACTGCTGTTGACTACAATGACACTTCAGATAATTCATCAATTAAATGCTTTACGTTCAAGAGAAGTTTTGCTTAATTTCGTATGAATTAAGAATTAAAGATCTTTTTTAACATGCTCCAAATACTCATAAAACAATAAAATTGTAGCATTTTTAACATTAAAATGAAATCAGATATATCAGAAAGCAAATAATATTTCCAGGGTAGATTAATAAAAATTTTCATTCCTCTAATTTATTTTTTCTACAGTATAAAAAAACTAAGTGAATTATTATGATCAACAGAACAGAGAGATACTTATAGCATAAGAGTGCTAAATTTATTATTGATCTATAATGCAGTATAATTTTTATTTGAAATTATTGAATTGAAAATGAAAAAATATGGCGGCAAAAAATTGAAAAAAATGCTGTTGGGCTGAAAATATCTTGCAAAGTGTTATAAACCACTTTTGGTATTCTCTGATATTCTTAAAAATGCATTAGTTAGTAGACCGGTTTAGTAGATCGGTTCGTCAGCTAAAGCATCAGGTGATAGATGATGGAATTGTTGGAAGCAAAGCTGAAAGTACTTTGTGAAATAGCTCATCATCAACATTGCAAACCATCACCAATCAAAGCACTTCGTTAGGATTAATCAAATACTTTGCATTGTCAATAGTTGGTTTCACTAACTTTCTACTTATTTATCGGCAATTCTCATTTACTACTCTTTCACTTGTAATCTCTTTCAGTGAAAGGTTTGACATTAATTTAAATATTTCGGAGTTGTTTCAGTACTTATTAATAAACGTTTACTATCTTTATTAAATATTGTAAAACTTAATTAACTCTCAACACTTCATCACCTCAAAGTCTATCATAAAATACAGCAAATAAATTCAAGTGACCTTCAACTGATTTAAATATTGCTTCCATTATTTTTCATTCATCACAATGACACTAATTAAATCTCACACTAACGTTACAATTACAAATAGGTAAATATATATGGCTAATCTCAGGGCATGAAATTTTCACGCTTCTATCTAATCATTTTTATTTTTGAAATCAATGAGATCAAGCGTGATATTATTTACAGAGCTCAAAAAAATCTCTAAAAATTAACCACTTTTATCTTCTGTCCTACTGCTCTTTTAATTCTTTTTGCTGAATTAAATAATTTTTTTTCTCATAATATTTAGAAATCTACATTTTTTAAAACTTTTCGTGTACTTAGGAGGGATGCCATTTTTCAGCAGTTTCAAACAAATGTTTTGTCATTTGAGAAAAAGAGGTACCTTATTCTTCACCTTACATCTGGTTTTCCTTCAGTAATGGACTCAACTCTCGAATGTGCTGATGTGATACCAGACAAATTCTCAACAGTTGTTAACTTTCTGTTGCTTTTAATGAGTGCTGTGCCATTTTGGACAAACATTCTCTCTTTATTTTTCTGTATATGGTACAGTTTAACATTAGTCAATCTATTTATGATATTTGAGCTATTATCACTGCTAATTCCAAAATAAATCAAAATAATTCAGTAATTTTAAATATTTTTTTATTCATGTATTATCCCAACATATGACATAAAAGTATCAATTTCTTGCACTGATTAAATTTTACTACTTTGTGATCAGTTTACTTAATGAAGTACTATCTTAAGTACTAGTTGTATGATGTTTATGACATTTAGATAGTACATTTCGATCGAATCTGTGCAAAAATACACATAATCACTTAGACTACTCTTAGTATAATAAACGTGATGAAAACCAAAAAACTTTCAGATTTTCTGATAGAATAAAAATTGAAGTGTCTGAAAATTATGTAGCTATTGGCAGCATTATCCTTCTACATACATTGCTTACCATTTCCGTCTTTGTAGCGGAAAAAAATCTTTTTAGGATTTTTGGCGGAAGCAAAATAATTGCATAAAATATTTCAAATTAGAAAGGGAAAATAGAAATGATTGAGAATTCATTAGTTTCTTGACTGCTTAATTTTTTCTGCATCGTCACTCTGTTTTAGGAAAAATTTTCATATGAACACAGTTATGCAATGATTTATCAGTATATTTACTCAAAAATTCAAATATTTTAAGCTAAGCATATTGCATTTAATTCTTAATGGTACTCAACATTTTTTCGAATTTTGAAGTACTATTTGTATGAAGTTGAGAATATTTATAATTGGTGCATTTCTATCAAATATCTGCAAAAAGTTGCTAAATCAATGTGATTAGTTCTCTGAGCACAATTTGCTATGCTCTACATTCATTCGTTCCATTGGCTTCGCTCTTCAGTTTCTCTCAAAAATTTTCGTTTTTTTGATCCACAGTTTTTCTGATTCAGAAAATGAATCAAAATTATCTCTCCGTAACTTTGACTATTTTTTTATTCATGTGTTAAAAGTAACGAAATATGTAATCTCAACGACCCAACAAATAATTTTTCGTTCTCACTTTTTGTTAGCATTGTCAACAGAAAAACAATGCAGCCGGTTTTTCAAAGTCAAATAAAAATACTTTTTTTTCTTTTCTCAGTTGGTTTGCATTGAAAATGGATTCCATATATTTTTAATGTAGCACATCTCATGTATTTGGAATTTGGCCATGATAAGTTCACTTCACAGTAATGACATGAATTTATTACAAATAAGGCTGATGCAGTTGAGCGATCTACTTTTTTGACGGATGTTTGAGCTAAAAATGTGATGATTAAAAAAAATCTCATTTCTATACTACAAACTCTTTTTTGCTAAAGTGAAGAGATGATTTGCAACTTAAAATAAGTGTCTGATAGCTCACTTCAGAACTCATAACTATTATTCAGTTTATGCTGAATATTATAACAACCCACTCAATATCCTTAGAAAATTTCTCAAATTTACTATAGAAATTGAAGCTATCAAATGAAAGAGGTCACCGTCAATTTAACCAACCGATCAAATGACATATTTGGCATCAGAATACAGCACCATGTAAGTAGTAATGAATGCATAATGATTAGCTTCAATACAGAAAACATACTATTTACACTGTCTGTTTTTCTTTGCAACTTCAGCTGTATCAATCAATCTACTACTATCCGATAAAAATATAAGCTTTTATTATCCGTTTGATGTAGAACTGTTATTGAATACTATCTTTTATAATTTTCATATTTTTAAGCAACGTTCCTTTGAGAACGTACGTATCTTATCAATATATGATTGCTCATTGGTATATACAAATACTTGACTGAAATGAGTTTATAAGTTAGCTTTTTCAACGGCAATTTGCATATCAACACATGGAGAAAAAAGATGAAATCAGTTTGTTTGCATAATGATCATTCCTGACTGAGTGGTTGAAAAAAACAGGAAATTGAACAAATTGCGACCATACGTATCAATATACAGACATGCACAAGCACATATACATATATGTATACATATGCAGTATGAGAGGTGCGTGTGTGCGTGTGTGTTACGTCTGTTAATATAATAATGCTTCTTCTTGCCTGCCTTAACCACTACAGCAGCCATTTAGTTCATTTCTATTCTACTTTCCTTTCTTTTACTGTTTTTTCATTAAATTCCATTGTTGTACTGATATTTTGGCAGCATTATTTTGGTTACATATTCTATTCCCTTCTGTTCCTCATTATCCTTCCTATTTGTAGCGATACCATCAACATTATTAATCCATCGTGATTCATCATTGAATGATTCATCATTCACTTGTCAATACTAATTATTCTCCGCCTTTAGTCTACATTCCCTTATTTTTGTTGGTAGTTTGCGATTTTGATGAGATTTAATCTCTGCGCTTTTTTTTCTTTACTATATTTTAAATATTATAGAGGTAGTAATTCTCTCATGATTATGTTGTGTTTGTTTTAGTGTATGGAATGAACTTTTTTGTAGTGGTATAAAGTGAGAAACGACTAGAAACATAGAGAAGGGTTCTAAGGGAGCAAGTTGCTTCGCTTCAGTTGCAGTCAAGAGGAAAGAGATCTTGTAAACCCACTGAGTTCCTGGCGTGTTTCATACGGTTTTATGTCTTTCTCTCTATGATATATCAGACATTAAATGAGGAATTATATGTGATTATAAATGTAACGAACGATTTGAATTCATTGCAAAAGATCATTAAATGTTAGTTTTGAATATTCGTAGTGATTACCAGAAGTTTGCTGTTTAACTACAATTTTTAAGTCAAGTGCTTGATCTTGATGTGAAATATAGTTTAGAGCTAAATAAGATTTTTGAAGTAATCTAACAAGTAATTTGCAGGAATCACTCGCTCATGCATTGCACATTTGTGTTTGCTTAAAATCTTTGCAATTTTTTTTTTGTCTTATTATTGCAATTACACGTTGATTATTACTTTCTAAGCAGATGTGAAAAAGATTCAAGATCAAAGATTGCGCTAACAGCATTACTTGTTTGTTTGTTTTTTGGAATAGAATGTGCGGAACGTTTGAAACAGAAACACAATAAAACTTACGAGAAGAAAAATTCGGCTAAAGTTTGACTATCAAAAAATGTTTTATGTGTATGCTAAATTGATTTGAATGCATTTTGGATGGAACGAATGATAGGAAGTGTTGTTGCCCTGAGGGAAATGAAACTGACAAGATTGACATGTCGATTTATTTGCAACTTTATTGTTCGTTCCCGCTTTGATCACTTTTTAATTACGAATCTGCTCAAGGAATCAGAACCTCTGATAACTGCAATTCATATCTCATTTTCTCAACAACTTGTATCATATGTTTCAATTTACTGGTGATTGATTTACGTCTACGTATGTGGATATTGACACTATATTTGGTTAAAAAGTTGTTTTTACTATTTTGCTCGAAAAAAAATAAAATAAATGATCATTTTAATATAAAAAAATAATGTCTCTTGGGAAGTGTAAATTAGCTCAAAATATGTAGTTTTTTTCTTTTTCATTTAATTGGGTGTGAGTATTTACGAAATTCCATTGGCCAAGAATCAAAATGTTGAAAAATTGCAATTACTAATTATAATGAGGCATGTAAGTTGTGTTTTTGTTGACAAAAAAAATTTAATTAATGGCTTCTCATAATGATTTGTGATAAGATAAAGCTTAACAAAACTAAATTTGAAGTGATGAAAGAGTAGGTTAGATACCGAAGAGGATGATAAGAGTCAGCTTGTGCTTGCATGGCATTACTGATAGAAAAGAAACAATTTTTGACATAACAAATGTTTACAAAATGTTCGGAAGTTTCACTGCTACTTGCAGTAATACTTTCTGTTTCTCCAGCTTATCCATATCTATCCTTCTTAAACCTTTTGTTTGTTTTTTTTGGTCTCTTTGTTTGCTTGTTTCGTTCTATGTTTTTCTTTACTTTTGATAACAGCAAGTTATTTTGTTGATTTTTTAATTGATTGATAGTTAATCGAAATTACATGCTTAATACAGAATATGTTCGATTATGTTAATTCAACTTTTGTCATAACTTTTAATCGATATCGATTTCTTATTCTTATCATAATGTTCATATGATTGAAATTATTCTGCAAACTTTTTTCTTCTACACTTTCAAGTTTTTAAAATCCAAAGAAGTTTATCTGTAAGATATTTTTAATTCTACAAATATCTGAGCACTGCCTTCAATAGGACATACCAAAAGTTTCAAGTTATATTATATCAGTTTGGTAAAAGCGAAGATAAATTATAAAAGAGCAAAGTTTGTTCAGCCATAATCATATTTATGTAATCCAATGCACGAAGTTAAGGCAGTATGTATGCAACACTTTCCAATGATTTCTTTCTTCCTTCAAAATTAACTTTATTTAGACTGTTATAGCTATTTATTTTTCCGATATAAATGCATAGACACATTCTGTTTGCATACAATAGTTGATGGTCTGTCGTACTTTATTGCCATGAATAATGTTGGAAGGAAAATACCAAGAAGACAATATCTACTCTATTTCAAACTTTAAGAGCACATTATTATTTTTTAGTCTTATACTGCATGCTAGTATGTAATTTTTGCGCTTATTTTAACGCATGTATCACTTACAATTGTTTAACTCTCTTCCCAGAAGTTTAATTATAATGTAAGGCATTCTTTTTTTTTAAACTATTTTTCATGAAAAAGCAATTTGGACATTTGTGATGAAATTATGTGCAAGAATTAGACGCGTTGGGTATGCATCTAGAAGTTTTCTAAAGTATTTCAAAATTTTTGGAATTTACTTTAGTACACTAGCATCTGACAACAAGTCCTTTATTTTTTATGTTGGGGACATGAGATACAAATAAATGTGTTTATATTGATATGTTAATGGTTTGCTGTTAATTTTTGCCATGGAAAAATACGCTATTAAATGATAAAAGTTGATATTATTAACACTTATTGTACTGCTGATTGCTTTTGGAATTCAGTAATTAATGAAGTTAGTAAAATGAATGTGGCATCTGAACTGACATTGAAATATGTAGTAAGAAAGTTAGAAATAATTGCTATCCTTCAAAACGTTAGAACATTTTCTTGGCTTAGAAGTTAGCTTGTAAACTTCAGAATATTTGAATGCATGCTTTTCTTATGTATTTTCATAATTATCTTTCAGACTTGTGTTTGGGATAATTTCGAAATAATTTGATCAATTTAGTATTATTAATATTAGGCATAGAAATAAAAGTGTTTGCAAATTATTGATTACAGCTGATGCTTTGTTGATGAAACTATTTAAGCGGGAATGAGATATTCTTCGAATTAACAGATAGACATCCCTTGAATGCTACGATAAATGAACGATCCAAGGAAAAATTTCAAACTGCTAAAATTTGGGAAATGCTGCTTTAGGTGGAGAAGTCTCATTTAGTTGAAGCAGCTAATTTCATATATCTGCTGCGCTCAGTCTGTTGTTGAAAGAATGGCTGTAACGTCTGAAAAATCATTTATTCAGAAATTATCTCCTTCTCTATCCGTAGATTTGCAAGGCGGAACTTTACTCGGTGTCAAAGAGGTTTTTTTGTTAATCTTGTTTATGTATGCTCTGAATGATGGTTATTTAGAGAATTTTCAAAGATAATTGTTAGTTTTGAACTGGTATAAGTTGCATAAAATGATTATTTTAGTTTGACGAAGTTGATGAAAATGATGGCTGCAAAGTACACGTAACAGAGTATCACATTCTTTCTGCTGATGGTGAAGAAGAAGTTACGAAAACTTGTCGAAGAAAACTTAAAATTGAATGCAATCAAAGTACCAGAAAGACGGAAATAGCGAATGGTGATTGTATATTGCATACTTTATTTTGTATTTATGAGTAAATGATTGTATTATTTCATAAATCATGTAAAATGATATTTTATATTTGTAACATTCTGATTAATTGATTTTTTAGGTCGTGAAGCTTTTATAGAAGAAAAAACCGAACGATTATTTGGCGATATTGATGGTTTAAGGCAACCAGTAGTTCGTGTTGACAGATCTAGAACGATTGTGGATTCACCAGATCCAGAGGTACTCATACATTGCAGAAAAAATGAAAAAGTATTAAAACTATTTATAGCTGAAGGAAGTTCAAGTTACAGAATGCAGCGATTGATGAAGTGTTGCAAAAGACACGAGAAAATTTTCTCACCATGTTAAGTGAACAGAAAGATCAGCTAATAAATATGTTTCCCGATTTGTTTTCTGAAATGAGGACAAGTTCATCACTTTTTGAAACTCCGCAAACTGAGATTGAAACGGTCGTTAATCCTGATGGCAGTACAACGACGCGAATGCGCTCCTCCACTGCTTATAGGTTATTTAAATTAGTTATTGCCTCATTTTTGAATTGGATATATTTAACCGTTAGTTCTAATAGAGTTATTAAAAATATTTTCAGTACAAGCGGGTAACAAGTATTCATGAAATTTAGTAAGGAAATTTTTAAAAAAATATAAGAAAGCATTTCGCAAGTATTTTTTGTGTCTCTTTTTCGCGCTACAAGAAGTCAAAAAATCATCAAGAACATTAGTATAACATTTTTTTTTCCGAAGTTTATGTGATTTTGTAGTTTTTGAAGCAAAACAGAATGCTTCATTTTCAGTTCTCGCTTTTCAAAGCATGAAATGTACATAAATGGTGTCAAGCAAGGATCGAAGAGTAAATTTAGAGCTTTCATGGAATATAAAGGTTAGTTTTAACAATAAATGAGGTATGAAAAACATGATTCAGAAATCAGGATGTGTTAACAAGTCTCCAAGTTATTAAAATTGTATAAATGTTATCTGCTTCCCAAACTTTCTGTTTTTTTAAGGCCCAGATGGGGGATTTCGAGTGAAACTTCGTGATACATCCGAAGAAGACCTTTCGGAAGAAGAAGCAGATGATGTTAGTGATGATATACAGTCACAGATCTCAGAAATCCCTGACACTCAATCAGTTGTAATCTCAGAAATTGGCATGAATAGAGTGCCTACATTAAAAGAAAAAATTAAGAAACGTAAGGAAAAAGCATGGCTTGCTGTCAAAGAATTAGTCGATTCAGAACAACGATATGTAGATAAACTTCGATTGCTTGATGAAGTATATTCTTAAACGTACTAATAGTAGTTTCTTTTGTATAGGATTGTTTAATCATATTGTATACCAGTGACTAAAAAGTGTGGTTTACCTTTTGTTCTTCGTTATTTTACTGTCTACTTTGCAGACATTCCGGAAAAAGGTTGAAGAAGAAAAAATTCTGGAAAAGGAGAGAATAACGCAGATTTTTTCTAATATATCCAGTTTACATCAGTTTCATAGTACTCACTTATTACCCGCATTAATGGAAAGTTCTCGTGATTGGCACACTACACATAGGTACTACGAAATTTTTCAATGTATTATTTCTTATAATTACATTGAATTTGGTAAATAGGTATATTTAATATTCCGGAACATGATTTACGAGTTTCGGGCTTGAATTTTAAGTTCAGAGTTTGAAAATTACTATTTACTTATTTGTGAAATTGTAATACATTCTTATTTCGCTAAAGGCTCATCATTTATTATTTAAGAATTAGTGATATTCTTCGAAAACGTGCTCCTTTTCTGAAAATGTATTCCGAGTACACAAATAATTACAAACGCGCCACCAAAGTTTTTGATGACTGTTTAAGGAAGAAGCGCCGTTTTGCGCAAATTGTCCAAGAAATTGAGGTTTGTACTATAATCAACCAGTGAGTCCCAATTCGTTAAATTTCATTATAGCAGTATGAAACATACATGGTAATGCTTTATCAAATCATCATTTATGTACTTCACTTATTAGTTTCAGCTGAAACCAGAATGCGAAAACTTACCTCTGGTCTCGCACCTAATATGTCCAGTACAGCGTGTGATGCGGTATCAATTATTATTACAAGTAATCTTTCAGTTTTTACGCTATTAATATCATAATCATGGGCTGTGACCAATACCATAAAATATGCTTATTTCATTGATTTATGTATGAATTCAGAAAAATAATTTGTAATTTTTTTTTTCAATATTGACTTTAGGAATACAAGAAACATTTGGACCCTGCAGATACGGATTATAATGACACAGAAACCGCGTTGGAGCTAGTATTAGAGGCAGCAAGTCATGCCAATGAGATGATGCGAAAATTGGTTTGTGTAATGATTAGTTTTATTCAGACTGTAATAAAAACATAGTAATAGAAATATAAGCATTTAGAGCCGTTACAAAGATGTATTGGAAGTTCAAGAGCAGCTAGGCAGTGCGATGTCGTTGGTATCACCAGGTCGAGAACTGATAAAGAAAGGAAAGCTAATAAAAGTAAAGACATTATTTAATTTTTGGTATTTTAGGTCTTTGAGAATAGTGATATTACTCTTTTCTAAACTTCTCTCATAATCTAACTACTTTCGACTATTCTCATGAAAATCTTAAAGCTTTTCACGTTATAAAAACATCAATATAAAACCTAAACATAGAATGAAAGTTTGTTCAACAATAAAATGAATAATTGTAGATATCATCATCTTCGGAGAAAACTGAAGAACGATATTTATTTCTTTTCAATGATTTATTACTTCTTACATCAGAACGTTTGTTGCCAGGCTTCGCCAAACTAAAGGTTCGAGCGATATTCGACGCTAGTTTAACTCAGGTGTTTTTTTATCATGTGCATTTTAGTTGGAATAATAATTCATTAAATTGTTGATCCGTCACAAAGTTGCCTGTGCTTAGTATCTTTCATTAAATTATCTAGAGAATATAAAAAAGGACAAAAAAGTTTTCATGTGGAAGAAATCGCTTGGTTTCTTCCTGTTATGTTCAAAACATAATTAATATCTCAGAATGATATTTTTTCATAGAAGTATTTTTTATTGTTTTCAAAATTAATTGACGAAGATATATTATCAGTTTTGCAAATGAGGCTTTTATCTTCCACATACTTAAAAGCTGCGCAATTTCAGATTTGTGAAGGAGATAACTTAGAACGTGAAAATTCGTTTTATGTGCGTGGTTCTGATTCGTCAACTGGTCCATCTCGGTAAACTTTTTCAGTTCAAATTTACTATTCTAATCGTGGCTAGAATTCATTATTTTTATTACTTTCATTTTTCAGGTGTGTAGAACTGATGACTGAAACTAGTAAAGAAAAATGTGATTGGATAGACATGGTTTGGAATGTCATAAGTGAAAGTCTAACGAGGAAGAAATCATTTATTGCTCCGGTATTATTCTTCATACCTTTTACTCTGTATACGTTTTGGAAGCGTTAATATTTTTGGAGCATAATTATGAACTTAGTTACTGATTGACATTTTGATATAACTTTAAGGAATTTAGATATCGAATACAATATCATTTCGGTCTGAAACTCGCTGTTGCGCCAAATGTGACATTGAGTTCTCATTTATTTCGAGAGGTACAGTATGTACTCGTTGTCGTCAACGATTCTGTAAAAAGTGTTTTGGTAAGCTACGGAATGAAGATAAAAATATGCGTATTTGCAATGCATGTCTGCGACAGAGCGTAAGTATATTCGGAATCAATTTTTGAAATCGTGATTGTAGTCATGTAAACAAAAATTTGCAATTTGTATGTTTTTAAAAAGGCTGTATTTCTTCACTTCTGTAGACTGCCAGAACATTCGAATAAAAGCCGAAGATAAATATTTGTAAGTTCAAAAATATGTACAAAGAAAATTAATATTGAATACAAGAAAACCAGTTTGTTTTTGCTTTCTCCCTGAAGCTTTCTGTTTGCTAATTAACAAAAGTTTGAAGGATTTTTCTCAAGTAAAGGAAAATAATTTACGTGCCCGCACAAATCCGCTCTCACTGGGAGCTAGAAAGGGCGAAATACTGTTCGCCGGTAACGTTAAATTTCGTGGTTCATTGAATAAACCCTTGAAGAGGTATTTCGTTGTACGCAAGAACTTCTGTTTGTATTCATACGCATCTGATAATGTAAGGTTTTCTTTATCTGTTTCTTTTTTATTCCAAATCAGATTTTGCATTAATTTAGGCTTAAATTTAATAGCAGTATTTCCAGGCAGATAGTGCCCTTAGCATGCTTCCGCTTCCTGGATGTGAAGTTAAAATGAGTGGTGAACGATTTACTTTTACTATCAAACATATGCATCGACAATACATTGTAAGCGTTGAAAATGAAGAAGCACAAATAAAGTGGATGGCCATGCTTGATCTTGCGTCAAATGCCGTACTCAGGGAGAAGGCTCGGTAAATTACCGTTTTTCTCTCATTTATGTTTATTTTTGATGTTTAAATCCAGTAAATGCCTGGAAGAGTAACTCTTTTATGTTGAAATTCTTAGTTGAAATTTTTCTTCTTTAAGGCATCATCGACCGTCACTTAAGAGTTGATGTGATGATGAGTTTTGTAATATTTGTTTTTGCGAACCTTAAAAATTTAGCATTAAAGAGAATGTGGATACAGAAAGAAGGAAGTATAATGGAGTCAAACATTCATAATAAGTATGCATATAAACAAATATGCAAATGAAATATAAGTATATTTCAACAATTATATCACGAATTCTCGAGATTTGAGCAGTTCTTGGAATTTTTGAAACGCAACTTGAACACTTTTCATATTCATTCACAAATTGTCAATGTATTTGACCATCCAAGAAAATCTCTAATTTTTATTTGTCCCTTTTTTATCATTGCATCGTGCAACATTGTGTATCAATAAAAGGAGTAAAGTAGGATGAACATATGTTAACATCTGTCTAGAATATTCCAGAAATTAATTCCGTCTCAACTGGAATATGTAGTGCAAACAGACAATAAATTTATTGCGAACATTTATGTATATTTCTCTCATTGGTCATTTCTTTCTTTTCTTTCACCCTCCTCCCAGTATTTGGTTGTTTTTACAATGCATTCCAGTCAAAACAAGTAATTTGTATGTAGTCACTGATCAAAGATGATATGGATATAATGTGAGTAATTGTCTTTTTTAGTATTAAATGACGGACGAGTAAGACAAAAGGTAGACTATTGAATTTTTCGAATATAATACTGCTAGAAATGCAAAACAGCCTTATTTGGTATATTACTCCATAATATCAAGTTGAGATCCATAGTTTTATGTTTCTTCAAATATTTCTATTTAAACAACAGGATTCAATCTCTTGTCATGCTTATGAATTGAACAAATGCTGCTTAGCCATCATGATAGTGAAGATAATTCAGACAAAATAATCCTGAAATTGTTTATGATAGAATGAAATTTGTTAAATAGTAAAAAGATGTGATCTGCCAAGTCACTTTGTATTGAAGAAATCAAGCATTAGTGCAAAATTCTAAATAGAACTCACTTCATCATCACTATCTTCGTCCACGTTGTCCATGTATGGAATCTGGGTAGTTTTATATGTGGGAACATAGTTTTCTTTTGGAAGAGAAGGCTGATATGCGGTAGACTCCTCACAAATTGCCTTTGGGAATATTTTGAATTCCCAGTTTCGTATTATGTAACTTTGTTGACTAGAACTGAAATATTTCTTGAATAAATGTAAAAAAAATTCTGTGCATTTTCTACATCGGTAATAAGTTTCAACAAAATGAAACTAGCAGCATCATACTTCATCTCTGTTAATCTTTCATTTATTCCATCAACATGTTGCGCATACTGTTCGTAACCAGTTTCCGCCAAAATATGCTGACTGAACTCTTCACGGTGAGTAGAATCTGCAGAGAAGACAGAGCCTCTAATTCCGAATACCTACAAATTACTATACGATCTATCTATCGTTCATTGAAATATTGATTAACAAATTAAAAAATGAGTCAAAGTAAACAATTGGCGCTGTAGTATATTTTAAGCATACTGTTCCGTTACTATTGCCTTACACGCTATTATAAACCGTTAAGTAAATTCCCTATTTTTTTTGCAGTAATTGTTCGCTAGCTTTTGTTCTCCTTAATATCGTATTTTTAAGATAGCAAACTGAAATGCAAACATTTCTTGATTACGTACAGAAAATATGAGCGGTAAAAAAGAACAGAGGAAAATTCTTACCTGTCGTTCAGTATTATTTGGAACTCTGTTCTCTAAAGAATTATTATGCCAGTCGTCTACACTTCGTGCAGTTGTAACAATAGGATAAATAAAAAAAGAATGCCGGTAGTAATTACGTGTGGCCATATGTTTCAGACGTGTCCCTCTTGTTGTACAAAACAAAGTGCTTATTCTAAAATTAACGAGAAAATTCAACTTACGTTATGAATTTTGTTCATAACCACTTTTGTTAATTGTAATTGGATATATTTTGACAACTATATAATCTGTTTGCAGAATTTTGAGCTTGATTAGTTCAAGACAATATGCATTTATTTCAAAAAATTTCACATCTTATATTCATTAATAATTTAATATAATATTGAACAAACTATCAATTATCTATGCTCACCGAATTTTCGTCAACATCTCACAAGTCATTTTTCTTATTTTACAGTTTAAAATGCTTTCAAAAATTCTTGTGCAAAAATACTTGAAATTCACACTTTGAATGAAACGAATTGCAAACCTCTGTCGTTCAAAATAAAGTGCCGTAAGAAATGCAACAATACCAATCAAACTAGCAAATCCCAAAATTGGCCATAAAGTAGCACTCAAGTTTTCGTTGATATCTACAGTAGAAGCTGATGAGTCATAGATCGTTGGTTTTACACATTGTCGGGGATGAGTTGAACCCTATATACAGATAGCTGTACTTTTTCATTTACTCGTATTACATCATATACATGTTATGATGTGGATGAACTACTTGAGAACAAATTACGATGTAAACTATAATATCTATCGTAACTCACTTTCTCAAAGAACGATCGGTTCTCAGTATTGAATGAAATTAAATTTTGCTCAAAAAAATATATATCCAATTAAAGTAGTAATTTCAAGAACAGTTCGCTACCTTTAAAAGTAATATGAAAGTTGTTGACAAAGTTAAGTATTGACAAAATTTTGGTTCTGAAATTGCAGGTAATCTAATATTAAGAGAAGTTATTGGATAAGGAGTTTATTGTAAGGTGAGCAAGTTCTATCGTTTGTTGTGGAATAATCAATGCTTAATCTCCTTCATTATAATTAGCAAATATTTCATACGTATTAGGCATTCACTGAGTTTAGAATGATACAATAAAAGTTACGGTTTAGAAAATTAATATTAAGTCCGAGATTTCATCTTTTGGATTATTTTTGCGCGTAATGAGTTTTTGACTATTAAGTGTTTAAGTGACATGGATATTTTTTTGCTATTATTTTTTTATTGAAGAGTGAATTTTTGATGCAATTTCACCATCACATTTTAGCAACCAAACTGTAAAGATAAGAAATATGAGATAGATTCTGTCAAAAGTCATGTTTATTACTACTGTATACTTGAATACTTTAATATAAAAGATTGTATAGTATAAAACTTCTAATTTGTACAAATTCTTTTATGAACGATGATTATCTGTTGTAGCCGGTGCAATAAACTGAGACTAAACGTACCGTCACTAGAGTGACGAGTGGTTCTTCACATCTCTGGCATTCAGTCTGATTGTAGTTACTCTGCAATAAAATTTCTAAGAAGCATTCGCATGAAAACTAAAATATGATACTTTCAACATTTATTATAAATTACTTTTTCATATTAATGCGAGACAAAAAACAAATAAAAACAGCAAACATGATCTATACTAATTTAAAGAACTGCACAGCGAAAGTTTAATTTTCAAAATTTGCATATGTGCACTAAATTTGCACCTTCTACAGATATTTTTGCATTTTTTGCGCAATCTTGTTGCATTAATTGCTAGCAATAATTCATTTAGTTCAAAAAGTGCACAAAGAAATTTGAAAAGTAATTAACATCTTCAATGAAAACCAATAATTATGCTAACTTGATAATAATTTTTTGGACAAGAAAGGCATCCGGAAGGTGAAATTGAATTGATATAAGTGCCTGGTGGACAATTTGGAACTGTACAATCAGTACTACTAATACTACCGTTATGAGGAGTAGTGAAAAAGTTTGGACATGGAGTGCATCGACTTTCGATTGAGTTTTCTGGTCGATATTTTCCTTGTGCACATTCAACGCATTCAGATTGTGTATTCATCGACATTCCTGCCCCACAAGTTACTGAGCAATCTGAAGCACATGCTGAACCCTGAAAACTGTTATTGAATATAATCATGAAAGTTTTTCCGTATCATTATAACTTTATCGCTACAAATGTACATTTGACAATGTAATTTAGTATTGAAAAAAACAAAAGTACTTTATTTGGAGTGCTGTAAGATTCTGGACATGGAATACACTGCAATCTTCCAGGCTTATCTTGATACATACCTTTGAGGCATTCAGTGCACTCCTCTTTTTCTACATTGTAATAATAACCAGGACTACAGTTTGCTTAAAACAGTAAAGGTTATTAAATTAATCTTTTCTACATATTTGACTGAGCAGTTCTTTAGAAAGCACTATTTTTATGTCAGATCTATGTAAATATTATTAATAAAGACTTGAAAGTAATTACATCTGAGGGAATCAGTGCTACCTGGTTTATGTCAATGACACAAAAAAAAGATGAAAAAGCTTACTGTAACAATCATAAATACTTTGATAGCCGACATCATCATTTATTGGACCAGTTACCGTATTATTAGGACACGGAATACATTCTTCACAACCATCATTTTTCTTATACGTATTTTCTGGACATGGTTTGCAAGAATTATCTTCACAAAACATTCCTGGTGAACATTTCACTGAAAGTGCATTAGCAATCAACAGGAACTTCTGAACGTAAATTTCAAAAAATTTTACTAAATTTTATAACAGTTATACTTAAATTAAATTTGAACGAATTCATAGAAAGAGCATACAATTCAAAAACAGTAATAACAGTTAAGTAATGGTTAATTTTTTCTTTGTTTTAAACTTAATTAAGATTTCAAAAATTAAAAGAAATGGAATGCAATAGATACCACAAGAGTAAGAGTCATCTTGAATAATTTGTGCAGGATAATTCTCAAATGGACATTGCCATGTTGTGTTTGACTTTTCATTACTTTTGCCAAAAACTTGGTACAGATTCGTAGTCACAACAGGTTCTATTGCCTTTCTTGTGGTACTTAAAATGCAATCAAGTATGATAAAATAACATATCTTTTACTCTAGCTTGGAGTTATCATATATTTTTGAGTAACCTCTACTTTTTTGATTTTGATAATGATGCTTAATTCTTTTGAATAAAACAAATAGTAAATCGGTAGATTAATGGTTATAGTTATGAATATTCTAATGAAGAAAGCAGTTATTCTGAAATTTGAGAAAAATACTACAAGTTTCTAAATTAAATTTAATGGCAAATTAAACTATCTTTTTGTTACTCAGTGCTCTGATTTATGCACTAAATAAGCAATGAATGACAAATAACTAACTTTACTGTGATCGAATAATACAGAAATATGTCATAGAGTGGTTCGCTAATATATTTTGACATCCAATATCTCAAATCTAAGACTGGCCAGATTTTGAGTTCATCCGTACAGTTCGGAGTAGCACAAAAATTGCCAAACTGTTCATTTGCTTTCTGGAATGAAAATGATAGTTGTCAGTGACTATAAGATCAAATAAGGCAGTCTATTTAATTACTTGGCTAATACTAATAATATAAATAAAATATGTAAGAAAGAAAATGAAAATGATAAAAAGAGTAAAAAGAGAAAAATCAAAGGAATAGAATATTTTTGAAGCTGTCAGTCTTGTTTCTTTTTTGATTAGAAGCTCAATAATGTTGAACAGTTTATCATCATGAATGTTTTATCAAGATATCGAGCTTCTAACCAAAATGGAAACAAAATAAGTTAGAGTAGCTTATAACAAAGATTTTAAGCAAGTAAAGTGAAATTTTAACTTTGCAATCAGAATGTTTTGATTCATTCACTTTTTTTGGTCAATAGTTTTTTTTTTTACAAGTTCATCTTGGAATACTTTCTACATTATTGTTTATAAGAAACATACTTCCCATGCATTTCAGTTTCCTTTTTTGATACTAATCAGCAAAATTTCTAAGACAATTAATACATTTGTACCAATATTTTCATTGAAATATACAAAGCATTTTCAGCTTCATAATAATTACACTAACTTATCACTGCCGTTAAAACGTTTTTAATTTAGTGTAATACTAACCAAAATTGCGTCTGTTAAATTTTTTATGTACTTTTCAACGTCATTTGAACTTCCTTTAACAGTGACCAAACCTGAAAATATTGCTAATTTTTTGAAAACTTTTTTATTAAAATTAAAAAATTGCACATGGTAAAAAAATGCTAACCACTTAGTTGTTGTAGTGGGAATGTGTATTCCAAACATGCTGGAAAATAAAAATTTATTCCATGTGACCAGTAACTCCATTGACCCTGTGAAATTAATTCTATATCTGGTCAAGTAAAAAATAACGATTCATAGATATTATATACTGAAATGAAAATTCAATGAAGTTTACTATAAAATAAATATCTGCTGCAACAAGTATGATTACAACGTCACATTTATGTGCTGACCAGTAGATCACATGTGTAGAAAGCAGCAGTAGGTCGGACAGGCATGTAATTTGGTAGGCATTCAATGAATGCAATTTTCTGAGCTTTCTCTGAATTCACATCTTGAATGATGATTTTTCTACCATCACTCTTTTCAGGTACGGCACAATTTTTTGGTGTTATCACAACATCGAACTGGCATGTTGCAATGTTGCCATCTTCATCTTCCGCTATGTATACAACATGATGTTCACCCCTGTATTTTTTTTTAGAATACCATAACAAATTTTGGTCCATTTTTGTTCTAGTCAACACTTTTACACATTTTTAAAGCTTTTTCTTCAAAGTCTTGGAAAAATCTTTAAATTTATTTTAATTTTCATCTACATCTCTTCATCCAGCTCATATCATCACATCACAATGATAAGTTTATGGATAACATTAAAATATAAATAGTCTCGAAAAGCAAAAAAAATATAAGAGCAGGAATTGTTCGATGTTCTAAATATCATTTACACCTCACCAAGTAAAAATATCTCCGCTATCGTAATTTGATGTGATATTAACAATACCATTATCAGTAAATACTTCACTTGATTTTGCTGGAGACCACTCTACAGTCGTTAATCTATTTTTGGATACTATATTCATACTTGATGGACAGTTTACTACTTGCGGTGCTACTTTGTCTAAAATTACAATTTTTACAGCAGACAAATAGTCAGAACGAATTGAATTATTAACTTTGTTGTGGACAATTTGAAAAAGAGTCGTTCAAGTAGAAGTGAACTTTCACTTAGCACTATAATAGACGCTTGCATTATTGAGTTATTTAAAGTAAAGAATAAAAATATTCTCGTAGTAAGTCTCATTTGGAGTAAAATACACTTATTTATGTAGTATGATGCACAGGCTAATTACAAACTTATTTCAAAGCATATAGCTTCTCTAAAAATTTACAATATATTATACATTGTTACATTGTACAACATTCTCTGCCCACTGTCGTTGCCCATAACATACTATCGTAAAAATGATCTTTTTTAGCCTTTACTATTTTGGTACCACGTATAATTAACTCTTCAATCCATTCATTGCTATATTTTCCGTTTAATTTGTTATTCAAATTAGCAAAGACTACATTTCTATCTGACTAAAAATATTTTTAATTAGACAATCGTCCCTCATCATGCTTACTCACTTCTACAATTTACTTTGACAGTCCACTTTTACTTATTTGAACAAATTCAATCAATTCCTGATTCAATAATCATATTTAAAATTTTCGCTCACAAATAATTCAAGTAAAGATTACCATTAAATGTATTGCAGTGATGTGGGTTGAAAATGCACTTAGATATTGTACAAATTCCTGGGGAATAATAATGTCCAGATTTGATTCCCATGAATTGATTCCAGTCAACAATTGGAATCTCATTACTTTTTTTAGTGGATTCCAACCATTCAGTACAGTGGTAAACAGAATCATTTATTTGTTTATTATTGAGAGAAGTATCGTATAACTAATTTGAAAAATAATTGTGTAAAATAATGGTATTGCTCAAATAATAAAATTTAGCCTAATTTTATTTCTCTCGATTAATATTACCTTACTTTCTTTTACATGTTGTAAAGTTGTGACAAATAAAAGTGAATGATTAAAACAATTTAAAAAGTAATTTTGAGTAAGTACAACAATTATAAATACAAACATTTTATTTTACAAAAAAATCGATATATAAAGCAACTTTGAAGCCTACAAAACATCATTTTATCAAATAAATAACAAACCTGAACCATGCTTAATTCTCCTGAAAATAATGTTGAAGCCCCAAGAACAATTCTAAGAGTGTTATTGGAAAATGATGCACTCCAATTTTTCGTCCAAATAATTTTACCATTTCGTATCCAGTCAATAGTTTCATCTTTATTTTTTCGAAAACAAAACTGAAGCAGATTGATTCAACTCATAACTTTCATTTATGATTTATCAAAAATGATTTTAATGTCTTAAAGATACAAACTAAATCTTCACGTTGACAAGAATACTTAGAGAAACAAATGTTTCATTTCTTACTTGTTGCCATTCATTTTCTGTAACTGTTATAAATTCAAAATTTTTGCCAAATTTTATTGCATTTTCTGTAATTGCAAGAATATTCTTACCATACCTGTAAATATTAATTATAAAACTATTTATAACTAAAAATTCAAGATACTCAAACTACATGACTACATGTATATGCAAATTTATCAGAATACGTACGAAGAAGAATAAAGTAATCAGTAATTTTAATTTATGTAAATATAAATGAAGAATTTCTAGTTTTCTAATTGACGTTTATAAAAATAAAGTAAGTTAATACAATATGTTTATGACAGACATCATGCTCATTAAAAAATAAGTTAAGGATACTTTATTCTACAATTTTTCTCATGACTTGTTTTGCTTTGAAATCTAAATTGCTCATCTTTCAAATAACTAAGCTTGTAAATTGGAAACCACAGATTATAAAATTAAGTACCCTTTACCCTTTTTGCTGGAGGTGCAAAAAAGAAGCATCCAATTTGTTGAGATCCATTATTCGGATCCAAAAACATAAAGTGAACTGTTTCAGTACTTTGGCATCAAATGATATCGACGTGAGTTTTGAAGTTTGGTTGTTGAATACTACATTAAAATCCAATACTTTTTCTACAAGATTTTTAAGTGCAAAAGATTGCTTGATAATGGATTAAATGCTTGAGCTGATTAAATATATTGAGAAAAAATGAGTAAAAAAATCAAACTTTTTTCGCATCTTCGACCTTCGAACTGGTAAATACAAACACATGTTGGTTCAGAATTGTTAGAAATACATTGTCCACCATTAAGGCAGTAATTTTTGAAATAATTTGTAGCGCATATATCCTGTAAAATATATTTATTTTTACAATATTACAATAATCTAGACATTATCAAATAACCTATATTTCTTGTAAACACAGCTGATAATTTTATCTAGTCACACGAGTACAGAAAATTTTTGTTGCATTACTGAAATATTTAAAAAAAAAAGGTTATGATTTTTTTTCTAGAAAGAAAATATATAAGATATTTTTCAACCACTAAAGTTTTACAACTTATATATTACTTAAATGCAAGGTAACTTACAGTATTCAGGAAAACATTGTTTTGTAGTCTTTAAGAAATGTGTTAAACTTCATGAATACTACATTAATTAATTCCTAGCTATTAAGTCCATAGCAAACCAATTTGAATAATGATATTATACTATTCATAGTAGAAAAGAATCAAACTGAATGTATTATTTCAGATTGAATAGAATATTAAATTTTTCTAATGCAATCACATTTAATTATTAAATTAAGTTCATCTTTCCCTAAATACAGTCCTCTTCGCAACAAATTTGTTTCAAGAACTGAGGAGAACAAAGTATGTAAGATTATTATTGACTTTTGAACAATTTAAAATATATTCAAACTATACAACAATTAAAAAAATATATATATAAAGTTGTGCTACTACTAATTTTTTTGATTTAAAAGCAAAAACTAATGAATTTTACTGTGTTCATAATAATATCATTGTTTTTTAATTCTTTTAGTAATGATATATTTGTAAAAGAACACTGATATTTTGCGTTTGATTCAAGTTACACTTTATTATTAACATGAAGTTCTCCTTGTACCATATAAAGTAAAATATTTTGCGGTGAATTCTATTCTGCTCAAACAAAGGTACTGTATAAGGCCTAACTACGTAAAAATTAATGAACACAAACTTGAAAAATAACTTTACAATTTTTCTAATTTCAAATCAATAACTTAATACTTTAGCTATGAGAAGTGCAATAAAATCATTTAATTCAATAAAATTTAAAAAGTTATATGTGGAAATTAAATAATGAACGTACCTCTACTTCCGTACAATTGATACCTGTATAATACTGAGGACATATACATTTATATCCTGATATCTCTGATTCCGTACAAGTGCCGTTGTTGTGACATGGATTAGGAAAACATGGATGATATTGGCAGTGATCACCATAGTAGCCTATAAAGACAGTATAATTAACTAGATAAACCAATGATAATGACAGTAATTAATAGCGTTTGCTTTAATGATCATTATTTGAATTCTGAATGCAATGAAACAAATTGTAATGACACCAATAATTATAATAATACTAAGGATTTAAAATGAGAACTTTTTCACTTCTAAGATTATCTTTTTTCAATTTCTTAAACCATTGTAATTTATCATTCTGACAGCGCATCACGCTGTCAGAATAATAAATAAATAGAAACTAACGTTTTTTACCTATCAACACTCTAGAAGTTTCCCGTAAAAAAAGCACAAAGCAGTAATACCTAGGTTACAGTGACACAAATAGCCATCGTCCAAACTTTCACAAACACCGTTATTTAAACAAGGGTTTGGCGATATACAGTAATCAATAGATTTGTTACAGAATATACCCTCTTTGTTGGAGGGACAAATGCATAAATACCAAACATCTCCTTGAGTTCCAGATACTGTGATACAAGTAGAACCTTCAGCACACTGCGCATCAACACAAATATCAAGTAGTTCTGTACAACGTTCCCCTCAAAGCATTTGCAGTGTTCATAAATGAAATGGATACAGAAGCAAATGTTATTCATAATTCTATCATTAATAGTCAGCAACGGTTGCATAATAATTATTGTACCTGTCCAGCCGGCTGTACATATGCAAATGTATCTTCCATGATATCCGTAACTTAATGCATGACATTCTGAATTCATACCACACGGTTTTTCATCACAGGGATCAATTGCAATCTAAAACCCACTTTTTCCTTCGAAAATGATTCATTTTGTAGCAATGATAGCAGGTAGAGATCTAGGCAAACAAGTAGATTATATATTTCCCTTTATTACACTTGATGATTGTAAGTTTTCTAACTTTAGATTCACTACTGCCTACCTTACCTAAACTTTAAAAAATTAAAAAAGTAAAAGTAGTAAACAAAATACACGTATTATTCTGAAAATGAAGTGAATAGTCGGAAAAATACTGCTCGAAGAAATAATTTATAAAAAATTATTTTACATAATGAAGAAAGCTGAATAGCATAACACAGAATTTAATTTCAAATTACCTCACAGAAATTTCCTCTGTAGCTCTCATCACAGATACAAGAATAACCTTGAAATCTCATCTGACATGTTCCATGTACACATGGTGAAGAACTACATTCATTAACAATTTGTGAACAATCAGATCCAGTGAATCCCGTATAACATTTACAGAATGCATCTTCATTATGACTACCTTGTTGACAATAACCGTACTTGCAAGTAATAAAATTATTTGCACATGTTGCACGTGTAGTGCATTTTTCTCCATAATAACCTTAAAGTTTTTTACGAAAAATTTAATTTTTCCACCACTTATACTATTACATTTGAAGTAACTCATAACAATTAACAAAAAAACAATACAGTTTCATTATGAATAATTTAAATGCATATCCATAAATTTTTTTTTTCTTGAAAAAGTTTAAATTTTTAAAATTTCATTCTCGTTCAACGAATAATGAAGTCACATGAGAAGTAGACAAACAAAATGACCATGAACCAACCTAAATCACACTCACAAAAGTAATAAGGCCACAACTGATCAAAGTGCGATGTGCAGGTGCCATGCGTACAAGGTAAATCTTTGCAAGGATTTGCCATTTCTGTGCAGTATTCTCCATAATAAGGTATTTTGCATATACAACGTGGTTTGTTATTCCAAACAGAACAAATTCCGTCGTTCCTACACAAATCTTCATTATCACATGGATTACTGTTCGAACACCATTTTTGTTTATCCGATGTGATATGCTCTATAATCAAATATTTGCAGTATATTATTTTAAATGAGATAATATTATCCATTTAAATTTTGCTTTAAGTTGCAAAAATCATCCATTAGAACACTAACAAAAGTATTCATCATGATGTATTTAGTTTAGAGTTTCATATTAGAATATATGTTTGAATTGGAGATGATTGAGTCAAAAATAATTCAAGCACTATAAAGAAGATAAAATTGAAAACAGCAGTCAATTAATATGTTGAAACCACAATGTTTATTAATAACTTAATGAAAAAATTAGGATAACATACTTATGCAATCTGGTAACTTTGGCAAAGACCAGACATTAGCGCCAATACAATGTGATGAAGAGGGGCCATCCAAATAATAAGGTTCATTACATGAAAAATGAATTTCATCTTTGAAGTTATATGTTTTCTTTACAGGCCAAAATATTAAATTTTTTCTCGCGATTTGTGGTGCAGAACAAGTTATGTCTAAAATGTAAAAAATATGACACAATATTGCAACTAAATATAAAACTACCAAAGGAAAGTGTAATTGTAGGCAAAATGCTGTTTTAAATAAGGGAAATGAAACTGTGGCAAATAATATATTCTAAATTTTCTTACAAATTCACAAAAAGATTCAGTATGGATTGATAGATTGTTATTTTATAGAAATTTGTATTGTTTTTATAAAATTCTTGCTTGCATTACAATATCAAAGTACACTTACTTGTACAAGAGCCCACTAAAACCCATGTTTCTGTCTTATCACAAATCATACTCGTATAATTGAAGGTAGAATTTAGACAAGCAAAGTAGATAATTGTATGAATAAAGTATAATCCATTTTCGTACGAAAAAAAATCAACATAGAATGGATAAGGAATGACGTTGGAAGGAATTTCAGGTACAGAACATCTTTTCTCTGCAAAATTATAAAATATTTGGTTCAACAACTTCAACGGTGGTCAATATTAGGTTGATGACAGTTGCCAAAACATTTTAATAAAACTTTTTTTTTTAAAAACTTACGTAGTATGAATAAATAAATAAATATTTATAAATATTCACTTAATAAATATTTATTTATTTACTTATTTATACAAATTAATAATGTAAAAATGTATAAAACTCGAAAAGATTAATTAAAATTAACACTAAACTATTATTTATAACTTTATTACAATAAATTTTTTAAATTGTTTTCGGTCGTCAGATATGAAGTATGTCTAAAACAGGTTTTTTTAATGCAAAAATGTTTTGCTGGTGAAGAATAATGCCCATCCATTTTAACTGCCCACATTATTTTTTGTTTCATTTTGTAAGAACTAAATAAATTGTAAATTAAAGATAGTATAGAAAGGGAAATAACATTGTTCAAAGTTAAGAATTCACTTTCTTTGAGTTATAGATTATATTAATCGGCAATTTGAAGCGAAAGCAGTTTTATGAATGTGAATATTTTCTGCAAGATTTGATTAGATTTGTTTACAAAATTGGCTAGTATTTAATTTTACCGATACATGATTTGTTCGGAATCAAAAATTTTTCGTTAATTATTCGGCCACGCATATCTTCTGATCCCGTATATAGTCGATGAGTAATTGGACATCTGCATTCATAAGAACCAATTGTATTTATGCAAGTAAATTCGCAAAAGGAATAACCAGGTGTAAGACATTCATCAATATCTTCAAATTATTATACTGTAGTATTAAATTAATCACTTCCTATATACTTCATTACAAACTATTCTTATATCATTTAGTAAAAAATTGGTACTATTTAATTTGTATGAAAATTTTTTGGCTAAATTCATTGTAGATAGATATTTTTACATTACCTGTACATGTATAACCTGTAGATGTTGCAAGCATTTGAAAGCCTTCATTACATAAACAACTATATCCACCAGAAAACTGCACACATGTTCCATTTTTACAGGGATTATCAGTGCAGTAATATTTTGCTGAAAGATTGTAATTGTTACAAAAATTTTAAGAAAACACTGATAATGCTAAGAAAAACTGAATAAATGTAATACGTTGACAATTTGGAATTTGGTTCCAAATGCCAAATACACATATTGGATCATTATCAATTTGCTCGAAGCCATCATCACATATATATTTTCCGGCTGTACCATTTGGATATGACTGATGTATAAAGTGCCCAAAAGGGAATGAAGTTGCATAACAGTGAGGAGCTGTAATTATACTATTATTTGAAAATAAAATCATGAAGATATTTTGCTTTTATAGCATTTGCAAATAATATTTGGAAGACTACCTTGACAAAAAAAGTCCGGATTCGTCCATGATCCATTCTGAATGCAAAGTCGAAATGGTGGTGAAGTTCCATTCAAATAAAAACCAGGTTCACATGAATATAATGCACGGCTATATAATGTGAAATTTCTTGTATAACCACTTAAAATTCCTTTATTATACACCACAGTTGCTGGACCACAGCTCAAAACTACAAAAGATTGAAATAATCTTGAATAAATAGTCATTGAAATTATCAGGAAAGTAAATTTGATCCTTTACAAAAAAATATCTTTAAATAGAGCAGTGATATTTAACGTTACTTTGACATTCTGGTTTTGGTATCCATTCATTATAATGACAACGTGATGTTGCAAATTCTCCAGATGGTGTATGATAACCCAAATTACATTTAAACCATAATATATTTCCAGTTTCAAAACCAGTGACATTTAATACCGTACCATATGGAATAACTGGCAGAAAGCAATATGTTTCTATAAACAAATTTCAACCATTCATAAGCTCGCAACAAACTATAAGCAATAACTGTAATATGTTTGGTACTGTCAGTTAGATGTATGCATTCATCGTAGACGTGAAGAAAATATTAAAGACTTAAGTTTTCATAGAATGCACAAAATTTCCTTTTTAAAGTTGTGATATTATCAATTATCTAGATATCAATAACAAAAACTTGATGAAAGTAAAAAAAAATAATTGTTTCAAGATAAGGAAAGTGATTTAAGTAATGAATTGTCGCATGCATCTAATAATATTAAAATTAGCCTCACACATCAAATAATAATGTAAGATTAAACCTTGCGTAGTATATGTAAATTTTAGCTTTTTCATAGCTACTCCATTTGATTTGAAAGAACGGTAAATGATTGTAACAGTGTTATTAATCGAAACAAATAGTGTTTTCATAGACATGATTTTCGATTGCCCGTATGAGTACTCGTGTACACTGTTAGAAGTATTTTGAATTCCATCAATTACCAATTCATCGGTATCACCAATAATAGCATAATCTTGCTAAATAAGTATATGAAATGGATTTTCTTCCACAACAATGGAAATTTGTAATCAAAAGTTTCATAGTTGTGAATCATGTAACAGTGGTACTAATCAGTTTGTCTTTGTAATATCATAAAAAACAAACTCTCAGAATGATTTTGTTTTTAAGAGATGATCGAATAGTCCATTGACAAATAACGTATTCTGTGGAATTAATTTCAAATATTATTTCATTTTGTGTCTCTTCATACAATGGTTTACCGCATGTAATATGTTTTACTGAACAATTTTCTTCATCGGAATTATCAGAACAGTCCTGAATTCCATCACATTGGCCTTCATGCGGATAACAGTTGCTATTATCCTCACATCGATATTCATAATCTGAAAAAGGTTTTCTAAAAAAAAAATTTCCCAAAAAAATTGCACTGTAGTTAATAATTTATTTACCTTTCAAGCACGCAAATGTTTCACAAATAGTGAAGTATGCAATGTTACAATCTTCCATTTTCCATCCATAATTTATTTGATCCGAAAAATTTGCAGACATGTAAACACAACTATTTCTAGTACAATAATCAACAGCAGGCTGAAAAAAAGATAATTGTTATAAAATATCTCTGCAAATTACGTAAGGGTTCACTTTTCTAGAGTTCTTATTTTCAAAGTTCCTGATTCAATTACTAATAAAATTAGCAATTAAGAAAAGCTAAGAAATATTATTTGATATTATTTAAATTTCTGATAAACCACGACGAAAAAAAAAGGAAGTGTAAGTATTACTAGGATAAAACCTGATAAAATGACCACAGTGGGTTGTAGATTGATGCAGTACTGAACTGATATTTTTTATTTAGAACTGCATTGAGAGAATTACACTCTTCCTGTTGTAATGGTTTCCAGCTTGTGTGATAAAATGCTGTCCAGTAATTACCTTTTGAGTTCAACAAGGTAATACTCATATCACGCATTAGTAACCAATCACTGAGAGCAATGCTTTGACTGTAATTATACCTACAATAAACTGTCTTACCTTCTCATATCACGTAATATCTTAACTTTATACTGATATTAAAATTATTATTAATAAAAAACTTTTGTGAAGCACAGAGATCGTTAGCTTCTGTCCAAGATAATTCTTCCAATACAGCTATATAACATGATGTTCCATATAAAGACCATCCTATAAATTTCATTCTTACCACTGAATAATACGACTTAATTCAAAAAAAAAAAAGAACATTATTAATAGAACCAGTAAGAAAATAAGACATGATTTTTCTTAAATTCAGATTATTACCTTTTGTATTTGTTGCTTTTACAAACAAAGGTGTAAAATTACTATCACTCAATTCATTGAAACAATTGTATTAATTTCATATCAAAGACTTATCTGATGTAGCGAATTTCTCAAATCATAAAATCTTACCTTGAATGCATGAGAAATTGAAATTTTCAATATCGTAATTATAAGGAAAATCAGTCAAAGCATGAATATATAATTTTATTGTAAGAATAGTAAAAGAGAACACAGTGAATGAGTTAATGAAAACTTGCATTTCTGAAAAAGTGATTGGTATCTGATAAGAATACTTATGGTTGAAAAACGTTATCACTGCTTTCGTCAAGGGACAGCAAACACACATGTTAGAAAATGGTCTTATTGTACTATTATCATGAATTTTCCTTCCACAGAATTTCCTGATAAATAACCATTTAAAAACTAAGTCACTTATCATGCATAATTCAGATCTTATTCTTGTTACGTAGCATGTTCAATCTGTGAAATTAAGGAATTTTTGTGAATGAATCATTTCAAAAAGTACCAGTACTTTTGCATGATATTTTGCTTGATAATTTATTGCTAAAAACAATAATATACAAACGACTGCAACTCAAATGTTAAATTAAAATTTAAAAATATATTTAGTTACTCAGTTTATTTGTCCGTACTATTAATGGACTTAAATGACGATTTTTAACAGCTTATTGATCTGAATTACTTTATGTGATTTGACTAACATCGTCATTATCACAAGTATTTGCGAAAAATATGGTAAAGACTAAGATAATGGAAAATTATGTTTGATTTACAAGAACTAAATTAAGAAAATACAAATTCTGACTGAGAAATTTTTTATTTGCATCATTTCTAACTTCAAACTCCTTTAATTGTTTTTACTCGTTCTCATTTTAATATCAAATTTTTATTCAAAAAAGTATTTAAATTTTTGATTTGAAAAAAAAAAAAGAAAACTGCGTTAAAAAATCTGTGAATATCAGTATTGAGATAGTCCAAAACATGCAACATTTTTGTGCTACTTAGATCAAAACACAATCATTATCTGATATATCCTTAACTAGTTAGTTAATCTTTTATTATACTTCATTGACTTATTTTCTAAATGTAATTCTTCAGTGTTTGTTGTAAAATAATACTGTTGCAGTATTTACACGAAGATGTATTAGATTATTGTCTGTCAACAAAAGATATTGCTTTAGAAGGCGTGGTGAATAAATTACTCAAATTAGTAATATGCATATTAATCGTTTTTAATGACAGTCAAACCTTCACTGCACACTTTCATTTCTCAAACTTTTTTTCAGCGGCATTTGCAATAACCTTTGTACCTCTAACTCATACTACTGCGAATTTAATTTCTAACATCAATATTGGACTTCATATAAACTCTTGCTATATCACTTGTAACTTTAAGTACTAAATATTAATTTTTACATCTTTAAATAAGCGAGATATAATGTTTTTGAAGCAAAATTCTTATCAATTTGGAATGAACAAATTAAACAGATAGTATTGCAGTGCTTTATAATTTATGCAAATATTTCAAGTTTTTCTTTTTTTTTTGCCAAAATAAATTTGTGTTTTAAATGAGTTTAGTTAGATGTCTTGTAACATTTCATTCACTGATTGGATTCAAAAGGAAAGAATAAAATAAAATACTGCAAAGTTTAACTTTTAACAAATTGATGATAGATGCATTCTGAATCTTCAACAACACTGATAATATTTCATCGTCATTCAAATTTTTGCAGATGATCTAGTAATGCACATGCAACCTCGTCGACGAATAGCATTCACTTCTGAGCAACTGAATCGATTAGAAGATGCATTTCAAAGATGTCCCTATCCCAAAACAGAAATCAGAATGAAGCTCGCTTTAGAAACACAATTATCAGAAACACGAATTCAGGTTGTTCATTTTTCAATTTTTATGCATTACTTCATTTACAAATAACTTAGATCAAAAAAGACTTCTTAATTAGATTTATTCTTATAGATGAAATCATCAAAAAATGTATCTAATTGAAGCAATCGTTCAAATACTGGCCAAAAACTGATTTTTTTACTCGTATAACTTATAATCACTAATTACTAAATTAATTTTTTTTTTTAAATATTTTTGGTTTTCAACTCATAAGTATGGATAAATACGAAAAATTGTAAAATTTGATTAAATGTTTGGATTTTTGCCAAATCGTCTTAAAGAGGTACATTAATATTGGCAATAATGTTTACATATATGCATTACTGTACTAAGTAAACAACTATAAGCTCTTGTCAATGATGTGATGAGCAGATGTGACCACATTAAATCATTTTTACAATCTTTTAAGAAGCATATTTATTAAGACTGTAACTTGTTTAATCGCTTTATGACCTTTCATGACCTTCTGTTTCCTTCAAATCAAAATAATTACAAAAGCATAGATAATTTTTAAGTAAACAGACATCTTCACACTGATCTATTCGGAAAATAATTTACTCATTTTTATGCTGCTCAAAAATTAAATCCATTATGGATTTATACACATATTATTATTTTATTACTGTTATTATTGCCAGCATTATTGAATCAACAATTATTTATACATATTACCATTTACTGAAAAATTGAAGAATTTAGGTGTGGTTCAAAAATCGGCGAGCTAAATATCGCAAAAAATTACGAAACAAATCTGATAACAAAGTACTACATGATATTTCAACTCCAAAATATAATTCCGTAATCAGTAAGAAAAATTTTATATTTGTCTTTATGCCAAATCCAATTTCAGAGCAATGTATTTCATGTATTTAGATACAGTAACTTGTTGAACAGATTTAACTTTCATCCAAATTAATTTGTTATTATGTTTAAAACTTGAAGATGTTAATCACTGAGCAATGATAATTCAAAGCATGGAGACCAAATTGTACAATAGTTCACGTGGCACACATTAAAGACACTGCTGAAACATCAAACGAGGATTTGGCAAAACAGTCATCACAGGTTTCTACAAAATAGTTGCAAAGACATGGTGAATACAACAGTACTCATGTGATATTACTTTTATGATGATAATAATTATGATAATGTTATTGTAAATGATAAAAAAGTTGGAAAAGTAATGGTTGATAAACGATCATCAATTGCATAACTCGTTTGTAAACAAAAAATTATTTACTCGAAATTTTGCATTCAATTAGTTACTCTAAGAAGTTTTCTTTTTCTATTTCTATAATCTTTTCTTTTAATTCTGAAGCATTTTGTATAATTTCATTTTTTTTACTCTTTCAATTTCTTCTCAAAACAGTTCATCTTTGCCATAGATTACTTCCATATTACACCTTTATCAAGTATAATGTCTGAAATGCACCTTAAATGCCAGTTTTTTTTCTTGAAATTGATGGAAAAAGTCTGCTTTTTCTGAAATAAAATATACTAAAATTAGTTAATCTGTACTCTTGAAATATATATATATATA